AAACAGAAATACAGGAATTGCCTGAGCAGTCTGAGAACAAAGAGAAAGACAGGAATTGCCTGAGTAGGCTGAGAATAGTCAAAGAGAAACACAGGAATTGTGTGATCAAGCTGACAACAGTCAGAGAATTACAGGAATTGTGTGAATGTGAGGAAGCTATTCAAAGAGTAATACAGAAAGATCTTCACTAGCCATAGACAAGGGTCTCATACCTAAAATATTCCTGAACTTAAAACATTAAAGCCCCCAACAACAATCCTCAAAGAAACAACGGCCGAATAAATAAGTGGGCTAGAGTCTTACAGAGAAACTTCTCTGAAGAGGAAAGAAGGATGGCTAATAGACACATGAAGAAATGCTCAACCTCCCTATCCATAAAATGCAAATCAATACAACATTAAGTTTCTACCTCACCCTAGTTAGAATGGCTATAATCAAGAACTCTAATAACAACAGATGCTGGAGGGGATGTGGACAGAAGGGGACCCTACTGCATTATTGGTGGGAGTGTAAGCTTATTCAACTACTTTGGAAAGTAGTATGTAGGTTCCTCAAAAGACTCCACATAGAGCTTCCCTATGACACAGCGATGCCACTTTTGGGTATTTATCCGAATGATCACAAACAAGACCATACTAAAGCGACTAGCAGAACAATGTTTATTGCAGCTTTATTTACATAGCTAAGGTATTGAACCAACCCAGATGCCCCTCTGTAGATGAAAGGATCAAGAAAATATATATACACATATATACATACATATATATACATACATATATACATATACATATATATGTTATATATACATATATATGTATGTATATATGTAATATATACATACATATATATGTATGTAAATATGTTATATATATACACAGTGGAATTATATGCCTCCATTAGAACAAATGGCATTGCCCTGTTTGTTAGGAAATGGAAAGACTTGGAAAAATTATATTAATTGAAGTAAGGCAGGCTCAAAGAAACATAGTCACAGGGTTTCCCTTATTTGCAATAACTAGTATATGTCTGAGAAAAGCAGAATTGGTCAGGTGATTTGATGTTAGGTGAAATGAACCCAATCCTCTGCTCCCCCAAGTCCCCTTCTAGAAGTAAATCCCCTTAGTTTGGCACATTTCAAGAACCTCCTCCCCATTCCCTCCCACAATGACCAAATTCTTATTTCCCTTAAAGCTTCTCACATACCTTTTTTAACCCCAAATGAGTATCTCCTCTTTCCTGCTACCTGCTGAGGGCTAAAGTCCATTATCCTTCAGCTTCTTTCTGCCTCTCTCCTAATTCCCATTCACTCTCCCACAAAACCCCATATTAGGAATAAAAAAAACCCTAATGGCTCCTACTGCTTGCTTCAGGACCCTGAAAAAATAATCAGAGTCATCTCATCTGTTCTCATTTATCCTATCCTTGTGTTCCACATCTTCTCCAACTCCCCAGTCTTTTCAGTTTTTGATTTAAACGACACCTTCTTTATTATCCCCTGACACATCACCTCAAGGCCCATCTTTGCCTTCACCTAGGAAAGACCCAGATACTCTGCAGGCTCAGCAAATAACCCAGACAGTATTGCCTCAAGGATTTAGAGACCGCCACCATTATATTGACCAAACCCTACAATAGGACTTGACCAATTACAACCTGTCCCCTAGTTTTCTTCTTCAATATGACCTCCTTCTTTTCAGCCTTTCAGCTGAGCCAAATATCAAACAACCTGATCATTAGTTGTTCAAAGGTTCTATATCCTCTGAATCCTCCCCTAAGTGTACCATCTTTAGTTAATTATTTGTATGTTTATAGTTAGACTTAAATTCTAGAAACTAGCAAAATCTGCCATACTGTTACATATATAACACATATTGTTTGTAATAAATATGCAAAGATACAAAATCTCTACTTCAATTTAATTATTCTTCAGTTTGTTCTCATTTCATTCTCCCCTCCAGCATTACAGTGTTAAATCAGTCTTTCTAAAGCATTGCTTTGATTTCTCTTATCACCTGATTTTAAAAAAGTAATGATTTTCTATCACCTGAACTTTTCTTTCTTCAGATCTACAGCTTTTCCTCCAGCTTTTTCCTTGCTGTGGTTTGAATGTGTCTTCTCCAATATGGCAGTATTAAGAGGTGAGGCCTTTCCAATTTGATTAGGAAATGGAGGGACAAAGTGAACAAATGCAGCAGTTGTGGCAAAGGAACTATATAACTTGTGTGTGGGAAAAGAGGGAGAAACTGGGAAAGAGCAAGGAAAGAGGTGACATTGTCCAAAAAGAAATGTATTTTTGAGACGACCCAGGATCCAAGACTTGGCAAGATGGCAGAAGGAAGTGCAACGGCTCCGTGGAGAGCAACGGTGAGCGTGACGGTGGACGCCAGGGAGCGTCTTCCAAGGCTGACTAGGCTATGGCCGGGTTTTCATGAAGATCTTTAACAAGGGAAAGTAATCTGCACACAGCCCCCTAAAATCAGCATTAAAAATCAGCCTGGTGTGTACTGCTGGTGAAGCAGCCACATGGAAGATGCCATGAGTACCACCATTTTACCTCATGCTCGAAATATCAGATACTGGTCCAGGGACACGGTGTCGGGGCCTGGACGCACTCCTTTTGTCTCATAGTGCCCCTATCCACTCAGAGAGATCCACTGAGCTTAACATCCTGATGCTAAGCACCAAGGGATAGCCAAGCAATACCAATAATGTAAAGATGGTGGCTTGCTTGCCAAGTGACTCATTCTTCAATGTTGGCTCATAATATAGGGCTTTGTTTAAATGGGGGGAAAAAATCTGCTCCATCAGCTGCATGGCAGTGATGGACTAAATAGCAGGAAGAATAAGATTACCATCTTACACACACACACACACACACACACACACACACACACACACACACACACACACACACACACGCCTTATTCTCTAAGGACATTATTCCCAATGAATACTAATGAATAAATAAATTGGAATCTGTAAAAGGTATCAGTTCAACCGTTTGATATTTGATATTGATAGTTATCATTTAAAAAGAATTATTTAAGAAACATAAAAATGTGACTCTGAATGTGCCTAGATAGGGAAGCGTGATGTGCAGATATATTTTACATGACTTATTTTCAATTAAATTGTTTGGACTGCACTTTTAAAATAGTTCCAAATGACAAACCTGATGGATGTTTTCTTTATCATGAAGGAAATAATTGCCAGATATTTAGGTCTCTGAATATTTGTTTTGAAATCTCACTCAAAAGAGATTTAGCCCCAATGCCTCCACAAAATGATTTCATGAATATTTATTGAAGAACTGTGGTGAGTTGTGCTATAAGTATATTGGGAAGAAATATGGAGCATAAATGTAATCTATTCGCTGTTTATAAAAATCAATAAAAGATGAAAGATGATCATGACTACTGTTAAAATCTACAAAAAAAGATAAAGAAATGTATTTTTACCTGACTTCTGTAACTGTAACCCCCTGTATATCCCCTTTGTAATAACCATAAACATTTTTTAAGTTGACAAAAGTAATAAATACCTTTTAAGAATTAATAAAAAAGTAAATACCAAGCATTCCACTCCCCTTCTTAACCCTCTTGCTTCTTGGGGCTACAGAGCCTTGAAATACTCTACTCAGTTGTGCCAGATTTTAGTCACACCTAGGGATCATTATTTCTCATCAGGGATGAGCTATACCTCCCTGCACAATTCAGGACCTCCTCAATTACCACCTGTCTCTGTCCAACGAAGAGCATCTGGCCCTTCTTGGCCTTCTTTAACTTCTTTCACCTCTGGATTCCCATTTTTTTCCCTTATAGACTTTCCCTTGCACTCTGTCACCAAACGGTCCCTTTTCATTCAGCATGATTGCCAGTAGTGTTTCTAGAGCATTTTGAGAACTATCCTCTAGGTTTTTCATTGGCTGCTCTGTTGCCAATTCCAAGTGGGATAGAACAAGCCATAGAAACACAAGATAAATGGCAAGTGAAGGAGCCTCAACTCCAAACAAGGAGGCAACAGATTCTGATTTCTTCAAGGAGCCTTCTGAATGGTTGAACTGTTCCTTCTCTTGTACTATTTAAAGATCATGGCCATATATTGAGTCTGAGCATGATCTAATGTATTTCCCCCTCTTTGGGGATCCCTTTCTTTTTGCTATCTATTAATATTTAGGATCCTTAGAGACTGAGGTGACAAGGCTAAACTCAGACCATCATGCACTAGATACCTTCAACTTCCCGTGAGGAATAATGACCAATAATCAAACTATTCCTCCAGTGGTTCATCTTAAGTCACGTTGATGCCCTGGCCCTTTTTGCCAGAAAAAAGTACTCATAGAGATTCCCATGGGAAACTAGTGCTGCTTAATACCCTGATCTAAATTTCTGAAGGAGGTGAAAGAGAATGTGAAAGAGAGAGAGACAGAGAGAGAGAGAGAGAGAGAGAGAGAGAGAGAGAGAGAGAGAAAGAGAGAGGGAGAGAGGGAGGGAGGGAGGGAGGAAGGTATGGAGGAGGAGAGGGAGAGAGAAAGATGTACAGAGGGGGTGAGGGAGAGAGGGAGAGGTATTTCCTAGGAAAATACACTCAGTAATATTGCAGAACAGTAAATATTTGAACAGAAATACACAACTAGCTCAGAAAATATTCTCAAGTAACTGTAATCAAAGTATGGAAACTTTCATCAAAATGAATGTTCATATATCAGTGAACTGAGCAATATAGTGATATTAAAGCATCATTATAGCCTGCATATAGGGAAAGGAAGAATCACAGTAGATTTGTAATTAAAAGGACGACTGATAGCATAAAAGGAAGATTACATTGGAGGAAACAAAGGATATCCAGGAGGAAATACAAATTTAGACAGTCTAGTTGGAATCTTGCTCTAACTCTAACACAACCCACAAAATGAATGAGTTCAAATGGTTATTGACTGCCCAAATTGTATGGATTTGTCTCAGAACCTCCAAGCATTCTAGACAAAATTTATGTCCATCTTAAGATTTATTTCTTTCAGTTGTACTCTCCCTACACCTGTGCAGTGAATTTCTCTCAGGTCTTATCAAGACGATGTAACACTTGGGGGCAAAGATGCAGCTCAGGAGGCCTCCACTGGGGGCCAAGATGAAGACCTCCACGGCCACCATGACCTTCACCTTGGTGCTATGGTAGACAGGCAGGAAGGTGAGCCACATACTGCAGAACATCAGCATGCTGAAGGTCAGGAACTTGGCCTCATTGAAGGTGTCAGGCAGGTTCCTGACCAGAAAAGCCACAGTGAAGCTGGCCAGGGCCAGGGCACCCAGGTATCCCAGGACAGAGAAGAAAGCGGTGAGAGAGCTCATGTTGCACAGGATGATGATGTGGCCATGTTCAGAGTGTGCATCTATGTCCACAAAAGGAGGAGAGATTCCCAGCCAGAGACCACAGAGAGTCACTTGGATGAGAGTGCAGATGGTGATGATGAGGTTAGGAGCCCCGAACAACAGCCACAGTCTCATGCTTCTCCCTGGATCAGTGAGTGTGAAGGCCAGAAGCACAGTGATGATCTTTGCTGGGACCGTGGAGACAGCCACGGTGAAGACCACTGCGAATGTGGTGTGCTGCAGGATGCAGGTGGCTGTGTTGGGACGGCCAAGGAAGAGCAAGGAGCAGAGGAAGCAGCAGGTGAGGGAGATGAGCAGGATGTAGCTGAGTGCCTGGTTATTGGCCTTGACAATAGGGGTGTCTTGGTGCTTGATAAACCCCCCAAGAACAGAAGCTGTTAGTGCAGAGCAGCAGAGAGCCATGCAGACCAGGGACAGGCCCAAGGAGTCTTCATAAGCCAGGAAGCCCTCAGTTTTCATGAGGCAGTGGTTTCTCTGGGTGTTGGCAAATTGATGATCTGCACACCTGACACACTGCTCCATGTCTGATGAGGAGTGAGAATCACTATTAGTCTGGTTTCCATATTTCTCTTTCCTCACATCCTCCTCTACTTAAGCAGCTCATTTCCCCTGATTCACCAGTTAACCTGTATTGCTCTCAATACCAACTAGTATAACTCTCTGTATCAAAATACGTTCACCTGAATTCTCTTTCTTTCACACATTTCTTCTTCTTTTCTTCTTCCCTTTCTCTTTTTTCTGTTTATTTCGCTTCCTTCCTTCCCTCCCTCACTCCCTCACATCACCCTCGTCTCTCTCTCTTTCTTTCTTTCTTTTTTCTTTCTTTTTCTGTCTGTCTGTCTGTCTGTTTGTCTTTCATCCAGTGCTTGAACTCTGCCCCTAGGAATTTTTCCAGAGTATTCATTCTCAAAACTACCCCTCTACCACTTGACTAGCAGCTCAAATTCCAGCTCTTTTGGTGCTTAATTGTGGAAAATATTTTTACTGAGTTTCCTGCTCATCATTGCAATGAAGCTCCATCCTCAAATCTCAATTGCCTGAGTCACTTGGATTACAGGTGCAATGTATAATTACCTAGCCATCCTGCTGCATTCTTGACAGGCCATACCACTCTGGCTCTCTGCTACTCATTCAAGAAATAATGGAAAATATAGAATCAGCCCAAGCACTTCAATTTAAAAAGAAGTTTTAATCCTAAACTCAACCTACTACTTACCCCAAACAAACTTTCTGAGCATTTGATCTATGGGAGGAGGAGTTGGGGAGGTTGGAAGGAAGAGATGGTAAGAGAAAAACAAAGGAGGAGGCAACAATACTCAATAAGAAATGTACTCATTTCCTTACCGATGTAAATGTAACCACTCTGTACAGGATTTTAACACTAAAAATGTATTAAAGAAAGAACAATGCTCCTCCACTGATATGAGAGGATCTCAGAAAGCTCAGCTTGAGGAAGGAGAAGAGACACGAAATGGAGATGGTGAACTACTTCTGAATCAATGGTATTTGAGTAATTGTTAGTCAACCTAGTGCCAGTGTCAGATATGGAGTGATCATAACAAAAAAAAAAAAACAAAAAAGCCCAAAAGCCCCTTGTATTATTAGGTGTGCTAAATAGAAAATAACATTTAATTAGGAAAGAGTGGCAATGAGTATTCACAAATGAAATTCTGTTACATCCACAATTCCATTTAGATTTGCATGTCATTTCAACCATCAACAACTAATCCTTGATATTTTCTTTTTTATATACTTTCTTTACATACAAAAACATGTGACTGAGGAGAGGGGAACAGGGTATTGTAATGGAGGGGCAGTGGGTTGTTTCTTCTAAGGAGAAGTATGGTTAATGATAGTCATAGAACTTTGGGTGAAGGTGCATGTGTGTTCCTGCTGTTTTATTGTATATCACTCCACTGGTTTGGATGGACTGAAGGTTAAGAAGGTGAGATGGGGAATTTCTCTATAAGTCACAGACTCACCTGTCTGCATTAGAAATCTCATTCTCTGGACAAAGAATGCAGTCAAAGCAACAGGTAGCATTTCCTTCCACAGAGGCCTTCCTGTATCCAGAACCACAGTTCTCAGTGCAGACAGACTGAGGAGTCTGGGAACATTCAGATGAAGGGTAGTACTATTCATCCTTTTACCTGAAATCCCAGACACTCCAGTACTTTAAGGAAAAAGATCATCAAAAACAAAATCTTTAAATACATACAACCAATGAATTGATTGAGCCTTCTTACAGTTTCATGTAACATGACCTGAAGAATATATGGAGAATCGACATCCAGCCCCTCACGCTATCAGGAAGTCATGGAGCCTTGAAGAGGTGGATGTTAATTCTAGGAAATTAGGAAATGGGAGTTAACCCTACATCCCATTCTTGTATCAGGTGATGATGTGTTTTCTCTCATAAGAAGAACATCACTAGGGGAAACTTTAAATCAACACTCTAAAGCATGGCTAAGTGCTTTGAAGGTGCTGTTGTATCCAGGGTTATTCACATCTCACTCCCTTGACTTCCCAGCTGCCATGAGGTGGGTGAACTTCACTGGCAGTTGCTCCTTTCATTACAACCTGTGTCAACACGGATCCAAAAGCATCAATCTACCCAAGCATGGTCTGAAATCTCCAGGCAGAAGCAAAGCAAGCCCTTCTGCCTTCTCATTTGATTCCCTCAGGTATTTGGTCACAGTGTTGGAAAGATGATTCACAAGTGGCATTTAGCTTTTATGATATTCAATATGCAAACATAGAATAACATATTGATAATGAAATGTTCCCCTATTCCCTACATGAATCTGTTAGTAAGAAACTTCCAGAAACAGGAAGTGGTGAAATGTACACGATTGAACCATAGTTTTATTGAACAAGCTTTAAAAAAAGGGTAAGCTTATTGCTTATTTATACATAGATTATGACATTATGCTTAGAAACAACCAACTCTGGGGGAGAAATAGGATGTGGTGACAGTGTCTACAAGCATTGTGATTGTAACCTGACTAAGGAAATTGTAAGCTCTTTCTACAACTAGTTCCTAATAACAATCCTTTTTTTTAAAAAGGAGAGAGTAAAAAAAGTAGAAATGACCCACCTTGGTAATTCCTATGGGCCACTCTATCAGATTTTCAAACAAAATCAGTTGTTGACCATATGGCCTAGATGGAGAAAACTCGCCAACTTTCACCCTTTGTCCCAGACCTTCTGGAAAATTCCAAAAGCTCTTAATGTCATATTCTGCCTCCAATTTCCTTTCCTCATTCAAAACCACTTGGTCTCCAACAGGATTGGTAAATTGGATCTTCTTCAAAAAGGGATGCAGCTAAAAGGGACTCATTACAGTATGGTGAAGTGCTTCCCAGTGTTATCACAGAACCCCAGAACAATGGATTACACTTCATTCCCATCCCCTGATTCATACACACCACAGGAATCCAACCAACTGTATCAATTGCAGGCCCACAGCAGACTAAAGCGTTACCAAGTTCTAAAACCTGGGTATCCAGGATGGGATGCAGAAACTCAATTTCAAGGGAATGCAACTCCAGCTACATCTAACAAAATAATGAATTATCATATGACAGACCTCAAAGACTCTCAATTGCATTCCAATCACTTATTTTATGATTGTGATCAGAGAGTCAGTCTGAAATAAGGGGAATAATAAACTAAGTAGGATAGTAAAATATTTATGACAATTATGAAAGACTACTTTAAGCAAGACTTAGTTCATTGTGGTGTGTGTGTGTGTGTGTGTGTGTTTATCCTGTGACACAAACTCAGGGCTTAGACACTCAAATCGAGGTGGTTTTAATTTCTTTTCAAAGAATGCATTCTATCCATTGAGCCAAAGCTCCACTTCTGGCTTTTGATAGTTAACTATAGTCAGGAGTAAGCCATAGGTGTGAGCCACTTGTGTCCAGACAATATTAGGTTTTCAAGAATTAGTCACCTTGATCTGTTATTTTAAAAAGTTACAAGGACAACTTGGATATATTGAAAAGGGGACGGCTTTTTCCACACATAGTGTGGATGGGGACAGAAGACACAGCACTTCCTTTTCATGGATGCAGCGTTCTTCAAGAACATTGTCTTCACAGCTCTACATTCACTCATGTAGAGTATGACAGGCCCAATGTTTCTTATATTTTCCAAAATGGAGCCAGATGACCTAGTTCCATCTGCTATGAAATTTTCTATAGAAAGTCTATATGCCTAGAGTAGGTCACCCAAAACCAAAGCCATTACCTGTGAAGAGAGAAATGCCCTTGATTGACCATTGTGCCCTAGTGGCTCCTCCATGTGACAAAGAAACATCTGGTGGAGGGCGTGGGCCAAGGCACACACAGCATTATAGATGTTGTAATTCTCTTCTGACATGGTCATGTCAAAAATATACCTCAGCAACCAATGGAGTGTGCCATTGTATGAGCAGTGCCCCAAGTCTCTGCAGTCAGACTTAATCAGTAGGCTATAAACAGACTGAATCCATGACCTAAGGAGGGAATTATTTCCTAAGTTATTTGACAAGGTACCTTTCAGAATAAAATTGGTGAACAGAGAAGTGTTTCTATGATGATGAGAGAAGGTGAGAGACGCGTGGAAGGAGTGGATCAGAAAATATCTTTTACCGGGGGCTGGGAAGGTGGCTCAGTGGTAGAGCAATTGCCTTGCATGCTTGAGGCCCTGGGTTCGATTCCTCAGCACCACATAAGCAAAAAGAAAAAAGCCGGAAGTGGCGCTGTGGCTCAAGTGGTAGAACGCTAGCTTTGAGCTGAAGAGCTGAGGGACAGTGCCCAGGCCCAGAGTTCAGGCCCTGCAACCGGACCCAAAAAAAAAAAAAAAAAAAAAGAAAATATCTTTTACCAATGGTGATGTCATCATAGGGTGAGTTCATGACCCACACTTTCCTTGTAATTAAAATGTGCCCAAATTTAACAATAAAGCTTAGTAGAAATTTACTGTCCCCATAAAAGATAATCACATTGGTTGATGAGTCCATTAGCTGGCAATATGTGGATAGATCATCTGAGTAATCTGTAAAGGCATTGTAAGGGATCATGTTCTCAAAGGCAAAACAGACTCTACTGTTGCCCATCTCTTCTCTCAATTCTGAGAGGAACCACACACCATAGTTGTCTTCAGTGATGAACAGTCCCACCCAGGTCCAGCCGAAATGAAGCATCAAAGAGACCATGGCCAGGGCTAGATCTGAGTCTTTGGCTGCCATCTGATAGACAGTCCCAAACTTTCCATGATCACTCAGGAGAGGATCAAAATCCCCATAAGTGAACTACAGGGAAAAAATGAACACAACACCAGGAAGAGGATGGTAATAGGCAAGTCTCAGTCCTGATGTAAGCTAAACAAAAACTGGGAAGGGTGGGAGCAAAAGTTTGCTTATCTCATTTGCAAAGTCATCTCCCATGTTCCAAGCACTTTGCATACATGTATGGTTAAGGCTCAGAGCTTTGGGTCATCCTTTCCTTTCTTAAAACCTCTCCTTTTATTTAGAGCAAAGAAAATGTGTATGTTCCACCAACTTTTGGAGTCTTTTCCCTGTGAGATTATGCATTTGGAAGGGTTCATGATAATACCTCTTCAGCCTGTCCAGGACAGAGTCCATGTGGACATAGTTTCACATCTGCCCACCTCTCCCAGCCTCACCTGTGGAAGTTGGTAGAGGTCCAGCAGTGTCCCGATTGGAACAGATGTGCTTGAGGTTCCTGTGAGTCCTGCTAAAGCTTTGCTGTCTCTTCTGCAGGTGTAATTGGTGCTGTTTTTATTTTTCCCAGACAGCCAGATGAGAGGATCCTCTAACAGATCAGTACCTAAGTAATGTGCTGTATAGATCTCAAACCCCAGAGTCATGTTCGGTAGCAGATGGGGATTCTTGTTGATCTCCTCCACAGCCAGCACCAGGGTGAGAAGCAATTGGTATTTCTTTAAGTTGATCCTGCACAAAGGTCACAAATTTTGGGTAGGTATATGCTTATCACAAATGATTAACTGCAAATCTCATGACTTTTTTTTGAATCAAGTGCTTATCTCTACCCACAGTAGTATGTGTAGATCCTATCTTCCAACAGGATGGTATTCTAAATTGGAGTCTTAGAATTGAGAGAGCTCGACTGTATCGGGAGAATTCCGGGAAGATGGCGGAGGAGAAGCTGGAATCTGAACAAGCTCTTGCATAGAAAACAGTTTCAGAGTTCCAGTGAACAGTCCCAAGCCAGAGAATCACACCAAGTGTGCCATCACAGGACAGAGAGTTAGTCAAGAGAGGGGAAGCCAAGCAGACACATCTGAGCAGCTGTCGCTGCGTCGGCAGGGTCGCAGCGGCGACCACCGCCGCGGAGGCATACCTGAGACGCAGTCCGGGACGTAGGAGCCAGACGCAGCGGACGAGCGGATTCTACTCAACACCAGCAAGAACCGACAAGGAGCGGACAACTTCATCCTGCACTTTGCAGACCAGAGACGACCCGGGATCCAAGACTCCGCGTGAGTAGAAGCCCCACTTCCTCACTCCTTTTCTGGGAGCAGAGGAGGGAAGGCCACCCCTCGCCCCCCAGCACCGGTGATCTCCATCTTGGATACCAACAAAGCTCGGAGGAGCGGCTAGCTCCAGCTCAGGCCTTGGAATAAAACTAGTCATTTAGCAGGTCACAAGAACTCAACGGCGAAGTGACCTCACAGACTCAGTTCCATCCAGGGAAAAGTCACCCAGCTCAGGCGCCAGCCATTGGAGTGGCTCTCCTCACTGGGTAACCAGAGCCAGAGGCTGCCCCTCCCTTTAGCAGCCACCACAATCAATTGAAAAACAGAAACCCTGAGAATGGCTCCAGGCTGGGTGCTGTGAGTTTTTTTTTTCACAAAATAGCCCCAGGGAAAAGCTACTGTTCGTTGAAAGGCCTCAACTCTACCCAAAACCTAGCCTCATCACTGCATCCCCCTCTTTTGTGATTCTCAAAGCAGATCACCCTCCCAGTAAACTAACCTGGGAGGGGGATCTCAAAATCTTGGGTAAAGCAGAGCATTTTTCTGCCTGTTCCAACAAACTGACTTAAGAAACCAATCAAGCCACAGGACCTCAAGCTGACCAGAGACTCCAACCAGACTCTGGTTACAGACAAAAGGGAGATACAGGACTCTTCCCACCCCTCCCAAAAAAAAAAAAAATCAAAGAACTTTGTTTTTTCTTCTTCTTCTTTTCTTTTTCTTGTTTTGTTTTTTTTTCATTTTTTGTTACCTTATATATATATATAAAAATTTTTTTGCTTTTCTAAAACTTTTATTAATCTTTAATTTTTGCCTCTTCTGAAAAAATAATTGTTTTCCATTAAATTTTTTTTTTCTCCTCTTATAATTTTTATTTTAGGAATACGTGAATGTGTGTTTTCTTTTCTTTTCTTGTCTTCTTTCTCTTTTTCTTTCATTCTTAATTATCTTTTTGTTTTTTTTTTCTAGCTCTACTGAACTTCTGATCTTTTCTTCTCACTTTCCTATCCTTTCCATCTTTTCCTCTTTGTTCATCTTTATGTGACTTAACTCTTGTCCTGCACATCCTCAGATAAACCCGTAGTTAACCAGTAGACCCTATCCCCCATTGTGTACACACTTAATCCACAAACTTATTACTCAATTCAAAACCTCTGAGACTTAAATTCATTAATAGCAGTACTACCTCTTTATACCTATATAATATTTTAAGCATTTTTTTAAAGTTTTTCTCATCTCCTCTATGTCCTCTATATTCCTCTATAAATAGATGGTCTTTTAATCTCTAAAATAACATTAATTTTTACGCTTCTATTTTTTTTTCCGGTCTCCTTACATTCCCCTTTCCCTTTCTTCTTTTTCTCTCTCTCTCTACTTACATCCTACCCAACCTATTTCCTGCATTGTGATTAGGACATAGTTAACTCTCCCTGTGCCTCCCCACACCAATCTATTCCTATTTTTTACCCACATCTCTCCCTAACCCTAATAATTTTTGGTTTCCAAATTCTTCTCGGCGGTTCGAAGTCCTTTAACATATAGTTGTTTGATGTTGAATAGATGTATCTCTTGAACTAGATTGTAACTGTAGACTATTGACTGTACAAATGCAAACTTTGGTTGATGGTTGCCTTAAGATAGTGTTCTAGCACAAAACTGGTGCTATCTTCATCTCAAATGGGCAGAGTAAGCCGGAAAAACACAAGAAAAATGGCAAATTCGGGTATCTCAATTCCCAATCCTGATAATCAGGGGTTAGAACAGATAATGAATAATCCAGAGGAGAGTTCCCAAACAGCTCTACAAACACTGCTGGCAAACATGATAAATGAAAAGTTTGACAATGTACAAAGGACTCTGTATGAGCGTGATAGGGAGAGAGAGGAGGCATCCCAGAAGTTTATACAGGAATATCATAAGCGTGAGGAAGCTACTCAAAAACTGATACAGGATTTGCATGAACAACTTGAGAATACTCAAAGAGAAAGGGAGGAATGGCGTGAGCAGGCTGAGAACACTCAAAGAGATCTGCAGGAATCCCATGAACGGGAGGAAGCTAATCAAAGAGTAATACAGGAATTGAGAGACCAGGTAGAGAACACACAAAGATCACTAAAGGCATTCATGGAATCCATTAACAAAGAGCTGAAGGAAGTCAGGGAGACCACAAAGGGAATGCTGAATGGAAACCAACAGAAGGAATGGGAGCCCAAAGAAACCATAACCAATCAACTAAGTGATTTGAGGACAAACACTGAACACCAAATTAAAGAAATAAAGAAATTCATACAAGACCTAAAACAGAGCTTCAACAAAGAACTTGAAGCCATCAAAGCTGACCAACTAGAAGGAAAAGAGATAAAAAACAAAGTAGAGAGTCTTGACAGCAGGTTAGACCATGCAGAAGATCGAATCTCAGGGATTGAAGACAGCCTAGATATTATAGAGAAAGAACATACAACCATCCAAGACAAGTCCAAGAAATATGATAGATCTATCCAACACCTGGAAGACACCATCAGAAGGCCTAATCTAAGGATAATGGGTGTAGAGGAACACCTAGAAACAGAAGTTAATGGTCTAGGAAATCTGTTTAACAGGATCCTAGCAGAGAACTTCCCAAACATGCATAAAGATAAGCCTGTCCAGATACAAGAAGCCTTTAGAACCCCAAATAGACCAGACCAGAATAGGACATCCCACCATCACATTATAATCCACACAAAATCAACTCAGAACAAGGAAAAGATCCTTAAAGCTGTCAGAGAGAAAAGGGTAATCACTTATAAAGGGAAACCAATTAGAATCACCTCAGATTTCTCAGCAGAGACAATCAAAGCAAGAAGAGCCTGGAATGATGTATGCCATGCCCTAAAAACAAACAACTATCAACCAAGAATACTGTACCCAGCTAAACTCTCCTTCATAACTGAAGGCCAAATAAAAACCTTCCATAGCAAAGAAAAATTGAAACAATACATCTCCACCAAACCAGCCCTACAAAAGATTCTTAAAGATGTCCTACACATAGAAAACCAACAAGACCGCAATAAAGGCCAAGAAACTGCACCCAAACTGAGAATCCAAGAACCATAGGAAGAACCCAGTTTTCGCAGCCCCCAAGAAGGTAGATAACATGGCAGGAACTCCCAAATACCTCTCAGTCCTATCTCTTAATGTTAACGGACTGAACTCTCCAATTAAGCGAAATAGACTGTCAAGTTGGATTAAAAAACAAGACCCTTCTATCTGCTGCCTGCAGGAGTCACATCTTGCCCGTAAAAACAAACATATTTTCAATGTTAAAGGCTGGAACAAAATCTACCAAGCAAACGGACCGCATAAACAGGCGGGAGTTGCAATCCTAATATCAGATAAAATAGACTTCAAATTAAAATTCGTGAAAAGAGATAAAGAAGGTCGCTACATACTAATTAAAGGATCTCTCCTTCAGGAGGATATTACAATTCTAAATATCTATTCGCCAAACAATGGAGCACCCAAATTTATCAAAGAAACACTACTTTCCCTCAAATCCCATATAGATCCAAAGACATTAATCGTTGGGGATTTTAACACACCACTCTCCCCACTAGATAGATCAACTCGGCAAAAACTCAACAGAGAAACCGCAGATCTAAACAGCTGCATAGATCAACTAGACTTAACAGACATTTACCGAACATTTCACCCAGCAGCATCAGAATACACGTTTTTCTCAGCAGCACATGGAACGTTTTCTAAAATAGACCACATTTTAGGCCACAAAGCAAACTTGTCTAAATTCAGAAACATTGAGGTTATACCTTGCATCCTCTCTGACCACAAGGGAATAAAATTAGAACTCAACACCAAAAGCCACCAAAGAAAGTCCGGCATCACATGGAGGCTGAACAACACACTGCTGAATCATGAGTGGGTCAGGGAAGAGATTAGAAAGGAAATTCAAATGTTCATGCTATTCAACAAAAATGAACACACAAAATACCAGCTCCTCTGGGACACAGCAAAGGCAGTACTCAGAGGCAAGTTTATAGCTCTGAGCTCCTACATCAACAAATTGGAGAGATCTGAAACTAGCAATTTAATGACACATCTAAACCTCCTTGAAAAAGAGCAGCAAGATAAACCCCAATCCAGTAGACGGAAAGAAATAATCAAAATTAAATCAGAATTAAATGAATTAGAATCCAAAAAAACTATAGAAAGAATCAACAAAACAAAGAGTTGGTTCTTCGAAAAACTTAACAAAATTGACAGACCCTTAGCAAATCTTATCAGAAAAAGAAGAGAACACACCCGAATTAATAAACTCAGAGATGAGAATGGAAACATCACCACGGAAACAAGCAAGATTCAGAACATTATAA